ATTTATATCTGTCAATATAACATGTCCTTTGGTTTCCATAGTCTTAGGCAATTATCACACTGCACCGCGCCCCGCAACGGAGCGCGTGACACAGATCTGCGCCAACGCGCGGTTATCTACGCGGGGGCAGCGGTCTAGCGGCCCCGGGTCACTTAAAGAAGTAGCTTCGTAGTTGATTGCCGTAGTAATTGTTTAAGTAGCCGAGGTCCTTCTTTGAAAAGAATGGTTAATAATACAGAACTCATTCAGGACGCTGCAGTTATACTGTATATTTGGTTTTTCTTTACTCTAATAAAAAGACACCGAAGGTATTGGATACATCCTTTTTTACGAACCAGATCGATAAATGGATAATTTCAACTTCATTACAAAGATTTAAGAAAATATGAAGATAAATTTGGTTGATTTTTAATAGCAAATATATATTTATCGACGTCGAGATCTATTGAATAAAACTGAACATGTCCTTAAGATTAAAAATCTGCGCGGCAGTGCGAAGCGCAGTGTACCATACCCTGCTGTTCCTCCTTGGCGCGAGACGCGGTAAAACCGCGCGCGTCTCGCTTCCGCGCGGAAAAGCGTTATCAGTGTGTTCGACGGCGCGTGTTTTCCGTACAAACTGAGATACTTCAGTACAACGTTAAAAAACGCGACTCCGCGCTCCGTTGCGGGGCTCGTTGCAGTGTGATAATCGCCTAAGAAAATAACCCCGTAATGCCTAGCGTGTCCACATGGACACCAAAATGGGGTAATGCCAGCCAACATAATGGCATTAGTTAATGTTTTTTGTTATAGTAACTCTTTAAAGTTCGTTTCTTTTTTTTCTTATTCTTTGCCACTATGGCGTCCAGCCTTTTCAGCAATCATGATTCCGGTGACGTTTGAGATTTAAAGTTTGTACAAATGTAGTGATGTAAAATCGAATGAGAATAAATCGATTGAAATCTCTTATCCAGATAATTTGTGACATAGAGAGTATCGATTTATAATTCAAGAACAAATAATAAACAAAATAGAAAGGATATACAATTATTATGGTATTAACTTACCAAGAACACTACACAACAAATAAAAAAATCAACAACAACCAAATAAAAAGTCACAACAAAGTGTAATATTAACTGCAACGAAACGAAATTTTAACAATTTCTCCAAAACCTTAGAATAATAACGCATAGAAGGATAGTTTCATATCAAACGAACTGTCACAAGTGAGGCAAAAACCAAATTCATGTAGGCGTAAGCAACTTGTAACTACGCTCGTCGGCACGCACACAAATATACAAATAATGATGCCATGGAATAACATTTCCCTCAAAAGTGGGGAAATTGTATCTTGCTTAACTCATCATTAAGTTAAAGGTGCCTACAGATTTGCCCGACAATGTCGATCAGGTGCCTACAGATATGCTCGGTTTTGTCGATGAAAAACGAATATAGCACTTATTTGTAAATCCAAGATGGCGGACACGATTTTTCAAAATATGCTATATGGGTATCCTTTTCGAGGTATTTGGGGATGCTCATTACGAATATGGCACTCATTTCTAAATCCAAGATGGCGGACACGAGTTTTCA